TTATCACAAAATTTTAGATAATTTGAGTGGTTCCATGAAGTACAAGTATTACTTTAAATTATATGTAAAAAGTTGTATGACTTCAGTAGTACAGTAAAACAATTTTACTCATGAGAGAGTCTGCGTTGGAGGCACAGAATCATGATCCCTGACTGAGACACGGCTTAGATGACAGTGATGGCACCAGCTCTTCTGCTCTGGGGCACACAGCGCACAGGTTGGGTCTGCCGGCCCACCGTGCCTGAGGTGATAGCCGAGCCCTCCTCAGTGCTCACGGGCTTCCTCACCCCCTGCCTCTCAGTTTCCCCCACCACCTCCCAGTAGCAGGTTTGTTGAGGTCCTTGACACACGCCAGGGCAGTTCCTGCCTGCTGAATTTCTTATCCTTCTCCCACTTCATGGGACCCCCGTTGGTGTGGGAGTTATCTTGGTATGTCCATCTTCTTCCCCATAACTTCTGTTCAGCTTCCTTCTCCAGCCCTGGGGTCTCTAGTTCCCTGACATGGTTTGATGTTCCTTTGACTCTGTTCTCAGGGCAACCTGCGTGCACACATCTTGTGTCACTGGCATGTGTCTTCCTCAACAGTGCATGAGCCACTTGAGGCCTGAGACCATGTCGTAATGGAGTCTGAGTCCAGAACACATTGCAGGGGTTATCATGAATGAATCGTTAGTTTTGGTTGCTGAACTGACCAGTAGGATGGTAATATACTTGGTTTCTGTTCACAGTTTCCAACAAGTGGTTTCATGAACGAGGACAGGAGTTCCTGAGACCTTGTGGATCAACAGAAGTTGACTGATGTCCTTTTCTGCCCTTCCCTTTCCTGGCCCCGCAGCCCATGTCAACTCCAAGTTCAGTGTGACAGACACCTTCATGTGTTCCAGATCCTATCAAGTGGGTCTTTGGAGGAATGAACGTTTGTCTGGAGTGGTGGGGTATAGTGGGATGGGTCCTGGTGCCCTGGTCCCCAGCCTCTGTGGTCAGCCTGTGCTATCTCTAGCCTCAAGTGTAGGGTCAGAGCGGCTGCAGCAGAGTCACTGTCTAGCGCCAAGCAAGGTGCCTTTGTACCTCAGATGTTTTAGGTGTAAGATGTTTCAGTGAACCAAAGTTCTGATGCCTTGTTTACATGTTTGTTATGGCATTTCTATCAGTTGTGGCTTTAACAAAAAAAAAATAATAATAAATAAATTGTCCCTGCCAGAAGCCTTAAAGAGCTGTATTTGGAGTGTTTTTTGTTGTTGTTTTTTTGTTTTTTGAATATGGGAAGCTTTTCCCAAGTTGACCGTTTTGCGTGTGTTAGCTATCTGGAGGCAGAATCTAGATAACGAAGGCTTTAGTGGCAGAAGCCTGGCCTTGGGGTCTAGATGTGGTTTCAGTACTTGTGTCCTCTCTAAGCTTCGTTGTCCTTTTCTAGAAAGTAAGTTGGAATATACAGTCTCTCCTTGTCTCCTAGAGAACGTAAAGAACATGTATGATCACAATTGTGATGCTGTTATAGCCTGAAATTTCTTATTTTAGCATTTTAAAATATATGAAATGTATGGGAATACTTCAAAAAGTTAGTGGAAAATGGAATTTAAAGATAAGCTTAGGGTGGGCATTTGGTATAACGGTGAAGATGCTACTTGGGGGCCGGCACTGTGGTGCAGCGGGTTAACACCCTGGCCTGAAGCGCTGGCATTCCATTTGGGCGTCAGTTTGAGTCCCAGCTGCTTCACTTCCCATCCAGCTCTCTACTATGGCCTGGGATAGCAGTAGAAAATGGCCCAGGTCCTTGGGCTCTTGCACCTGCGTGGGAGGCCCGGAAGAAGCTCCTGGCTTCGGATTGGCACAGTTTGGCTGTTGTGGCCAGTTGGGGAGTGAACCATCGGATGGAAGACCTCTCTTGCTCCCTCTCTGCCTTTCCTCTCTCTGTGTGACTCTAACTTTCAAGTAAAATAAATATATATATTTTTAAAGATGCTACTTGGGATACTCACATCCCTTATCAGAGTGTCTGGGTTAAAGTCTTAGCTCTGCTTGTGATTCCAGCTTCCTGCAAATGTGCACCCTGTGAGGTAACATTTGATGGCTCAGGTAGTTAGATCTCTGCCACCCATGGTTCTTGGTGCAGATAAACATTTCTTTAGGGCATATATGAAGTACTGGGGTCCCTGCCACCTATATAGGAGACCTGGATTGAATTCCTGACTCCTGCCTTCAGGCTGGCCCAGCCCAGGATATTGTAGGCATTTGGGAGTGAACCAGCAAATGGGAGTTCTTGGTCTGTCAGTCTGTCTGCCCTTCAAATAAATAAAATAGACAAAAAAGTTTTAAATGAAAGATGTTTATTTTAGTGCAAAAAATTTTAAAATCTGTGCATATGAGGAGTCTTCAAAAATTTCAAGGAAATGTATTTTCTGATAAAATTATGCATAGATTTCAAAATTTCTTGCATTAGGGCAGTGTTGTAGCATAATGGGTGAAGTCACCACCTGCAAAGCCAGCATTTCGTATGAGTGCTGGTTTCAGTCATGGCTGCTCCACCTCTGATCCAGCTCCCTTTTAATGTGCCTGGGAAAACAGCAGAATGTAGTCCAAGTGTTTGGGCCCCTGCCACCCATGTGGAAGACCTGGATGGAATTCTGGGCTCCTGGCTTTGGCCTGGCCCCGCCTGGCCTTGTTGTGACCATTTGGGGAGTCAGTGGATGGGAGACTCCCTGCCCCAGTCTGCTTTTCAAATTACCAGATCTTTTTTTAAAAAAAGTCTTGTACCAAAATAAGCTTTACATTTCAGTTTCCACAAACTTTTTGAGATACTCTGTTAAAGAAAAGGAAGAGGAGTAGAGGGGGCCAGCCCTATGGCTCAGTAGGTTAATCTTCTGCCTGTGGCGCCAGCATCCCATATGGGTGCCAGTTCTAGTCCTGGCTGTTCCTCTTCTGATCCAGCTCTCTGCTGTGGCCTGGGAAAGCAGTGGAAGGTGGCCCAAATCCTTGGGCCCCTGCACCTGCATGGGAGACCAGGAAGAAACTCCTGGCTCCTGGCTTTGGATCGGCGCAGTTCCAGCCATTGTGGCCATTTGGGGAGTGAACCAACGGAAGAAAGATCTTTCTCTCTGTCTCTCCCTCTCACTGTCTGTAACTCTACCTCTCAAATAAATAAATTAAATAAAATAAAAAAAACAAGAGGAGTAGAATCACCTGTGTTACCACTGCCTGGGTTGGAGAAGAAAACATTTATTTTATTTTATTTATTTTTTTAAAGATTTATTTATTTAGCCAGCACCGCGGCTCACTAGGCTAATCCTCCATCTAGTGGCGCCGGCACATCGGGTTCTAGTCCCGGTTGGGGCGCCGGATTCTGTCCCGGTTGCCCCTCTTCCAGGCCAGCCCTCTGCTGTGGCCCGGGAGTGCAGTGGAGGATGGCCCAAGTGCTTGGGCCCTGCACCCCATGGGAGACCAGGAAAAGCACCTGGCTCCTGGCTCCTGCCATCGGATCAGCGCGGTGCGCCGGCCGCAGCGCGCTGGCCACGGCGGCCATTGGAGGGTGAACCAACGGCGAAGGAAGACCTTTCTCTCTGTCTCTCTCTCTCACTGTCCACTCTGCCTGTCCAAGAAAAGAAAAAGGAAAAAAAAAAAGAATACAAGAAAGATTTATTTATTTATTTGAAAGAGTTACACACAGAGAGAGATTTTCCATCTGCTGCTTCACTCCCCAGATGGCTGCAAGGCTGGAGCTGCACCAATCCAAAGCCAGGAGCCAGGAGCCTCCTCCGGGTCTCCTACATGGGTGCAGGGGCCCAAGGACTTGGGCCATCTTCCACTGCTTTCCCAGGCCATAGCAGAGAGCTGGATTGGAAGTGGAGCAGCTGGGACTTGAACCGGTGCCCTGTGGGATGCCAACACTACAGGTGGCGGCTTTTACCCACTGTGCCACAGTGCCAGCTCCTGTGATAAGCATTTTTAATGGATGACTACTCATGCACATAAACATACATTTCTTTTTTTTTTTTTGAAAAAAAAAAAGATTTATTATTTATTTGAAAGAGTTACACAGAGAGAGAAGGAAAGGCAGAGACCAAGAGAGGTCTTCCATCTGCTGGTTCACTCCCCAGTTGGCTGCAAAGGCTGGAGCTGAGCCAGTCCTAAGCCAGGAGTTCCCTCTGAGTCTTAGGCAGGTGCAGGGCCCAGGGACTTGGGCCATCTTCTACTGCTTTCCCAGGCCATGGCAGAGATCTGGATGAAAATTGGAGCAGCTGGGTCTCAAACTGGCGCCCACATGGGATGCCAACACTGCAGGTGGCACCTTTACCTGCTATGCCACAGTGCCAGCCCCAAAACATAGTTTTCTTGGGACCTATATTAAGGAGCAGAAATACTTCTCACGAATGGGATAGTACTGTTACGAAAGACTTCATAGAACTCTCTAGCCTTCTTTCTGCTCTATGATGATACATTAGGAAGGTAGCTGTGAACCAGGAAGTGGGCCACCACCAGGCATTAAACTGCTAGCACCTGATCTTCTACTTTCCACCATTCCAAACTGAAGTAAGTACACTGTTTATCGCAGCCCTACCTTGACTAACACAGTACATGTGTAATGCTAGCTGTTTCAACATGTTTATTGATTTTGAACAACTTTACATGTTTGTTGGTCATTAGATTTCTTTTTCAATTCTTTTTTTGGGGACTGGTGTTGTGGCATAGCAGGTAAACCTGCCATGTGCAACTCCGGCATCCCACCTTGGCAGTGGTTAATGTCTTGGCTGCCCCACTTCTGATCCAGCTCCTGGCTAATGGCCTGGTAAGCAGCAGAAGATGGCCTAAGTGTTTGGGCCTCTGCCACCCACATGGGAGACCCAGATGATTCTGGCTCTTGGATTTGGCCTGATCCAGCCCTGTCCTTTACATTTTTCTAGGGAGTGAACCAGTGGATGGAAGATCTCTCTGTCTCTCTCTCTCTCTCTCTCTGACTCTGACTTTCAAATAAATAAATAAATTTTTTTAAAATAGTCTTTTTTTTTTTTTTTTTTTTTTGACAGGCAGAGTCGACAGTGAGAGAGAGAAAGGTCTTCCTTTGCCATTGGTTCACCCTCCAATGGCCGCCATGGCCAGCGCGCTGCGGCCGGCACATCGCGCTGATCTGAAGCCAGGAGCCAGGTGCTTCTCCTGGTCTCCCATGGGGTGCAGGGCCCAAGCATTTGGGCCATCCTCCACTGCACTCCCTGGCCACAGCAGGGAGCAGGCCTGGAAGAGGGGCAACCAGGACAGAATCCGGTGCCCCGACCGGGACTAGAACCCGGTGTGCCGGCGCCGCAAGGCAGAGGATTAGCCTAGTGAGCCAGTGAGCTGCGGCGCCGGCCTAAAATAGTCTTTTAAAAAACTGATTCACATGAATTTTTTTTTAAGATTTATTTATTTATTTGCAAGAGATAGAGAGAGAGAGAGAGAGAGAGAGGTCATCTATCTGATGGTTTACTCCCCAGTTGACTGCAATGGCCAGAGCTGCGCTGATCCGGAGTCAGGAGCCAGGAGCGTCTTCCAGGTCTCCCACATGGGTGCAGGGGCCCAAGGACTTGGGCCATTTTCTTTCCCAGGCCACAGCAGAGCTGGATTGGAAGTGGAGCAGCCGGGTCTTGAACCGGTGCCCATATGGGATGCTGGCACTTCAGGCCAGGGCATTAATCTGCTGTGCCACAGCGCTGGCCCCCAGGAATTTTAAAAAAAATATTGTTTTAATGGCAGAGTTAGAGAATCTTGCATTTGTTGGTTCACTCCCCAAATAGCCACAATGGCTCAGGTTGGGCGGGGCTGAAACCAGGAGCCTGGTACTTCTTCCAGGTCTCTTGGGTGGGTGCAGGGGCCCAAAATTTGGGCTATCTTCTGCTGCTTTCCTAGACACATTAGCAAGGAGCTGGATCAGATGTAGAATAGCTGAGTTTCAAACAGGCACCTATATGGGATCCTAGAGTCACAGGTGGAGGCTTAACCTACTAAGTCACAATGCTATCCCCTTTGTAATAGTCTTTTAAAAATATATTTATTTGAGAGACAATCAGAAAGAGATCCTATGTGCTGGTTCATTTCCAAAATGGTTGCAGTGGCCTGGACTGGGCTAGGCTGAAGCCAGGAGCCATTAACTCAATCCATTTTTCCCACATGGGTGGTAGGGACCCAACTATGTTAGCTATCACCTGCTACCTTCTAGCATGTGCATTAGCATGAAGCCAGAATTAGGAGTGGAACTGTGAATCCAACCCAGGCTGTCTGATATGGGATGTTGGCATCTTAATCAGTAGCACCAATGTGCATTCCATAATTTTTAATATGTTGTGGCCACAAGCTATTTGATGGTTAAGTTTTGCAAATACATATAATTCTTTTTGCTTATATTTTCACCTTTTTAGTTCTGTCCTTTGTTTCTGCCTTGAAGGTTCATCTATTTGAAAGGAAGAGCTACAGAGAGAAAGACCTTCGATCTTCTGGACCACTCCCCAAATGGCCGCAATAGCCAAGGTTGGGCCAGACCAAAGCCAGGAGCCAGGAATTCTATCCTGGACTCCAAGATGGGTGGAAGAGTCCCAAGTACTTGGGCCATCTTAATGCTGCTTTCCTGGCTCATTAGCAGGAAGCTGTATCAGAAGGGAAGATCTGAGACTGGAACCAGAGCTCCCATATGGGTTTGCTGGCATCACAATTGGTAGCTTAACCTGCTACACCACAGTGTTTGCCCCTACTTCTGTCTTGATAAACTCAAGTTCTTTCTTTGTCAAATTTACCAAACTTTTTTTCCTTTATAACATAAGCTTGTATAGATATTCTGTATATATACAATCTCCCGACAGGCAGAGTAGACAGTGAGAGAGAGAAAGGTCTTCCTTTGCCATTGGTTCACCCTCCAATGGCCGCCACGGCCGGCGCACCGCACTGATCCGATGGCACGAGCCAGGTGCTTCTCCTGGTCTCCCATGGGGTGCAGGGCCCAAGCACTTGGGCCATCCTCCACTGCACTCCCTGGCCACAGCAGAAAGCTGGCCTGGAAGAGGAGCAACCGGGACAGAATCTGGCGCCCCGACTGGGACTAGAACCCAGTGTGCCAGTGCCGCAAGGCGGAGGATTAGCCTAGTGAGCTGTACCGCCGGCCCTATAACATATGCTTTTTTTTTTTTTTTTTTTTGACAGACAGAGTGGACAGTGAGAGAGAGAGAGAGACAGAGAGAAAGGTCTTCCTTTGCCGTTGGTTCACCCTCCAATGGCCACCGTGGCTGGCGCACTGCGGCTGGCGCACCGGGCTGATCCAAAGCCAGGAGCCAGGTGCTTCTCCTGGTCTCCCATGCAGTTGCAGGGCCCAAGGATTTGGGCCATCCTCCACTGCACTCCTGGGCCATAGCAGAGGGCTGGCCTGGAAGAGGGGCAACCAGGACAGAATCCGGCGCCCTGACCGGGACTAGAACCCGGTGTGCCGGCACCACAGGTGGAGGATTAGCCTATTGAGCTGTGGCGCCAGCCCTTACTTAAGAAATTCTATACTCCAAGATTATGAAGTTGTTTACTGTGTTCTCTTCTAAAAGCTACACAGTGTTTGTCTTTTATTTTTGTAGATGATGCGAATTTTAAGGGTCTATTTTACAAATTTTTGCACATTTTAAGATCAGATAGGCTTATGCTACAGTAAGTAATAAGTAATCCCTAAACTATAGGCTTAATATATAATACTGTGTCTCATGCAAAAAACCGTTGGTTGTAGGGTAACTGCTATCCATCTGTAGACATATCTAATTTCTCTCTAGTGGTTTCTATTAGCAGAACCTAAAAGCAAGCCACTTGGAATTGGAAATGCAGTTTACAGTCCTGGCTCCAGTACGTGTAACAGAATAGAAAATAGAAAAAGCTTCAGCTGGGAACAGAAAAATAGTGCACACAAGTGGTTTTTTTTTTTTTTCTTTTTCTTTTTTAAATTCCTATTTCAGGATTTTTGGACTTCTTGAATATATATGATGGTGTGTTTAATCACCTCTGGAAAATTGTTAAACCATTTTCTCTTTCAGTATTGTCTGTGTTCCTTGTGGAACTCTGATTAAATGTAAATTAGACCATATAATGCTGTCTCTTGCCTCTTAACCTGTCCTTTATATTTTTATACCTATATTTTCAAATAATTTTATGGCTGCTTTATGGTTTACTAGTTCTGCTACTTGAATCTAGGACTTTTTCCTTAAGGACTATATATATATATATATATATATATATATATATATATATATATATAAAAAGGTGTATATATATATATAAAGACTTTAAAGGTGTGTGTGTATATTCTGGCTTATACCATTTCTGTTAAAAAGCTAACTCTTGAGCACTGTCCATCGCTGTACCCTCTACCAACTGCTTTTAAGATTTTTCTCTTGTTACACTATGACTGTCTGCTTTTGATGGAGCCTTAGAGGCTTGAGATGGGTGTGGCCAGAGAGCTCTGGTTCCTCAGGGTTAAGGGTGTGCCAAAGGTGAAACTCCCAGGTTAGGTGTGGTAAATCTCTCCTCTCTCTCTCCTTTTTTTTTTTTTTTTTTTTTTTGATTCAGAAGGGAAGTAGTTCTGCACAGCTGAGCGGAATTGAAGGTAGTCAGCTTCCGATCTCTGGCTCCTGTGGGTATAACAATGGCCTGCTCTTTCCCAAGGACCACACAGGTAATCTGTTCTGCCCTCAGTGTGGGCTGAAATTCTTCGGCAGTCTCTCACTGGGTTGTCAAGGTTACCGAATTGTAGTGTCTCTGGAGAGTACTCACGTGAACTCTGTGAGTTCTCTCACCCACTGTCTCTTTTTTCACAGTCTCAGTTCATTAGCTCCACACATTCACTAGGTCCTAATCTCCTGTTATTTCACCCCCCCAGAGTCAGATTTTTCTGCTTGGCTGAGGGCGGGCACAGCCCTGAGGTCGCGCAGCTTTTACTTATGTCCAAAATGGTGCCTGCTCTTTGTCTTGCTTGCCTTTGAGAGGTGAGTGGAGAGAAAGAAACTCGTGTCCCTACTGGTCCCTTTTTTTTTTTCTTTTTTTTCCCTCTCTCCTCTAGTTAGCCTGGTGAACTTTCCCCCATGGGGCTTCAAGCCTCATTCCCTCTAGGCTCCTCCTTCTGCTTTCCCACTGGTGTCTCGGGCTATTGAGGTTCAGCTCACCTCTTGTTCCAGCGCTGGTGCGTTGATTCCGCCGCTGGTGTCCTGAGCCATGGTTCTCATGCCCTCCATGCAGGTCCACCGTGAATCACTAGTTCTGGAAGAGTTTCCTCTGCTATTTCTTCCTCAACTCTTCCTTGAACCTGCAGTATCTCTACTTTTATTAAACTGTCTCTTCCCAGACTATCAGTGTGCTCCCTTCCTATTCCGCCATCTTGCCGCTTCTCTTTATTTTGGTTATCAGTAGTTTTACAGTGATGTTCCTAGCTCATAGTATGATTTTCTTTTTGTTATTTTACTGCTTGGTGTTTACAGAGCTTCTTGAATTTCTAGGTTGATGTGTTTAATTAATTTTGGACATTTCTTAGACATCTTTTCTTCAAGTATTATTTCTGTCCCATTTTCTTCCTCTCTTCTCTGAGACTCCAATAAACTGGGTGTTAGAACTACTGTGTTTCTTATATCTCCTGTTCTCTCTCTGTGTCTTCTATCCTTTATCCTTTGTGCTCCAAACCATCTACGTTTGTACTGATACGTTTTGCAATTTATTTATCTTTTCTGCTAAACCTATATATTGGGTTCTTAATTTCAGTTCATACATTTTTCAAGTTTAGAAATACCCATTCATTTTTAAAAAATTTTTCTGATTCATTGGGGGAATTTATCTTTTGTTTTCTCCCTGTTTTTCTTGGACCAATGACTCAGTTACTTGAAACTTCTTATCTGATGACCCTATGATTTAGATTTCCTGTGGTTCTCTATCTTTTCCTCGCTTGATTTTTTTGGTCACTTAGTTCACTCTGTTGGTATGCTTCCTAACTTTCTGAATGCTGAACATTGCATACAACAAATTGTAGAGGCTCTGGATGGTGATAACCTCCTGTGAAAAGGGCTTCCCTTTCCTCTGCTAGGCAGAGTGGAGATGGATCACCTTCATGTTGTCAGAGTCTGAGCTGACTTTCTAAGGCTGAGCTGCAGTATTTCTGAGACTCTACCTTCATCTATTCTTTTCCCTCATATAGGATGTATCCTCCAGCAGTTTTCTAATTGAGCGCCTGTAGTGTTCCATGGATCTGTTCTTACTGGCAGTTCCTCAACTCTGATTCTTATATCCTCAGCACCTAGACCTTGCCTAAAAAAAAAATCCCTTTTTTCAATAATTTTGAATTTTTGAATCTAGGCAGAAAAATTCTTAGTTTCCCATTCCATACAGCTTTAGGATTCAGAAAATGTCTTACTAGGTATATTGACTCATTTCTCTACCCCTCCTATTCAGCATTCTGAAAACCACAATCTAATTTTGTTTTTCACTGCACTTAGTTTGCCATTTATCTGGTTCCTCATTCTTATCCCATGCCTAAAATCAGTAAATGGTTTAAGGATAAAAATGGCTGCAGATTCTTGGCTCATACTCATAAGATTCAGCCTTCCTTAGGATCTTTTTTTTTTTTTTTTTTAAGATTGATTTATTTATTTGAAAGTAAGAATTACACTGAGAAGGAGAGGGAGAGAGAGCCAGAGAGAGGTCTTCCATTTACTGGTTCCCTCCCCAGTTGGCCTCAATGGCTGGAGCTACGCCGATCTGAAGCCAGGAGCCAGGAGCTTCTTCCAGATCTGCCATGTGGGTGTAGGGGCCCAAGGAGTTGGGCCATCTTCCACTGCTTTCCCAGGCCACAGCAGAGAGCTGGATTGGAAGTGGAGCCGCTGGGACTTGAACTGGTGCCCATATGGGATGCCAGCACTGCAGGTGGCTGCTTTACCTGCTACGTCACAGTGTAGGCCCCTTTTCTTAGGATCTTGATGCCAAATCCCTTTCTGTTTCAGCAATTCAGTGATGCCTTCAAACAGATTTTATCCAGTTTTCACGGCTTTTTTTCCTTTTGACGCGAAAGTTGGTCTACCATAAGCCTCTCCATTTTTGTTTAAAAAAATTTTATTTATTTATTTATTTGAAAGTCAGAGTTAGAGAGAGGCAGAGACAGAGAGAGACAGGTCTTCTGTTCACTGGTTCACTCCCCAAGTGGCCGCAACAGCCAGGGCTGAAACAGGCAGAAGCCAGGAGCTTCCTCCAGGTCTCTCATGTGGGACGAAGAGGCCCAAGCAATCGAACCATCTTCTGCTGTTTTTCCCAGGCCATTAGCAGGAACTAGATCAAAAGTGGAGCAGCTGGGACACAAACAGACATCCATACGAGATGCTGGCATTGCATACAATGGCTTTATCCACTACACAACACTGGCCTCTATTTGACTTTTAAACAATTTCTTCATGCAGAATAAAATATAGACACAGAAAATCTGATCTCAAATATCTTCCTTTGTTAGCTACTATAACAAGATGTTTTACATTGATCTTGAAGATTTCCTGCATTAAGCATGGAGTCAGTCACTAAGGAACTCTGTTACATTTTGATGTCTGTCTGTCTTGTGTGATTCTGGAAAGCACAGGATAGTATCTGCCTTTGGCACAGGGGACTGCTTAGCTTGGCGTTCACATGTTCATTATGAGCAGCAAAGCTGTTGAGCATTTCAGTGTGCATTTGATAGTGTGACAGTGATGTTACAGTTAGTTACTTCATCATACAAACACTCTTCAGAATAGGTAATCAAGAAGCTGCAGGTCAGAGAAAGCAAATGTACCCAAAGTCATATGCCCTGTCCAATAAAATTCAAAACAGGCTACCATACAAAGTACCACAGACCAGGTGGCTTAAACAACAGAGATTCGTTTTCTCACAGTTCCAGAGCCTGGAAGTCCAAGAGCAAGGTTATCAGCAGATTCTTGTGAGATTTCTCTTTTTGGCTGGCAGACTGTTACCACTTTGTGTCCTAATCTCTTGTGCGGACAGCAGTTACATTGAATTAAGGCCCCACCATGTGATGTCAATTTTATCTTATATCTTTAAGGTCCTTTTCTAAATACAATCACATGTTTAGTTAGGACTTAAAAATGAATTTTGGGGAGACCACAGCATTATACTTGTGTTAGATCTGAAATACTGTTGGGAATGAAAGAAGAAAAAAACAAGGAGGGTGGGCATTTGGCACAGCAATTAAATCTCCCCTTGAGGTGTCTGCATCATATATTGGAGTGCCTGGTTCGAGTCCCTGATCCTCTCCTTCCCATCCAGTTTCCTGCTGATGCACACTCTGGAAGGCATCAGTTGATGGCTCAAGTATTTGGGTGCCTGCCATTCACATGGGAGCACTGGGCTCTGTGCTTCGGTCTGGCTCAGCCTTGGCCACTGTAAGCATTTAAGGAGTGAACTGGTGGATGGAAGATCTCTGTCTCTCTCTCTCTGCATTTCAAAAAACAATGAAATTTTTGGGAAAAAAAGAAAGATATATTTTCTTATTCTTTGTATAACAGATATGGTCCATCATGAACAACTACATCAGGTTATTAAGTATGTTTAAATAAGAATAACATCAACATAAAAAGAAACTGACTTTAATGAAATTAGAAAAAAGGGACATGATGTTATGTTTTGAAATAACTGGAAAAAGGCAATACTGACATAAAACATTTTTAAAGATTTATTTTTCTTTGAAAGGCAAAGCTATACAGAGGGGAAGACAGATCTTCAATTTGCTGGTTCACTTTGGCTGCAACTGCTAGGGCTGGGCCATACTAAAGTCAGGAGCCAGAGCTTTCTCCAGGCCTCCCAGGTGGGTGCAGGGGCCCAAGCACTTGGACCATCTTCTGCTGCCTTCCCAGGAGCATTAGCAGGGAGCTAGATCAGAAGTGGAACAGCCAGGACTCAAACTGGTGCCCATAGGGGGTGCTGTCATCACAGGCAGCTGCCCTACCCTACCCACTACACTACAACACTGGCTACCATAAAATATCTTTGAGACGATAAATATAATGAAACACATATAGTAGGTGTATATATATATATAGGTGTATACAGGTATAGATGTAGGATGTAAAAGTTATTTTCCTTGTCAAAATGATTATGCCAAATAAGTTCATAATCTTAACATGCAAAAAATGCTTTTTCCATGAATTCAAATATAATATTTTTAGTATTGTACAAAGATACCTTTTTGTGAGTACAGTGAGCAGATGGAATGTTACACTGTTCTAAAAACTACATTTAAAATACACGAATCCTGCCGGCGCCATGGCTCAATAGGCTAATCCTCCGCCTAGCGGTGCCGGCACACCGGGTTCTAGTCCGGGTTGCTCCTCTTCCAGGCCAGCTCTCTGCTATGGCCCAGGAGTGCAGTGGAGGATGGCCCAAGTGCTTGGGCCCTGCACCCCATGGGAGACCAGGAGAAGCAACTGGCTCCTGCCTTTGGATCAGCGCGGTGCGCCTGCTGCAGTGTGCCAGCTGCGGCGGCCATTGGAGGGTGAACCAACGGCAAAGGAAGACCTTTCTCTCTGTCTCTCTCTCTCACTGTCCACTCTGCCTGTTAAAAAAAAAAAAAAAAAAAACTCAGAGGCATCAAAATTAAATACAATACACTTTAATACAAAATTAAATACAAGGCATTTTAATACAATATGAAATCAAATACAAGGCACTTCACACAAATTGCAGATGTTTGTAAAATATTAAAAAAACCACATCAAATGACAAAATTTAGAATCCTGAAACAGAAAACATCTTAGTGCAGATTATAATTTCTCTGCAACTTCTGTGTTGTAATATTGTGAACTAAGAAAAAGTTAATAAAGGTATATAACTTTTAAAAAATGACCATATACAAAGTTGCATGACTAATAAAGACCTATCCCTTTGCTTTTAACAAATGAAAGTAACTCTGAAAATGTTTGATTAATGTAAAACTTTAGCAAGAGATATTTAAATATACTTGAAAACAGAAATAAGAAATGCACAGATCATTGAAGATGCCTTTGAATTACTGTGGGAAAAGCGTTTAACATGAAGAAATTTAAAGAGATTATAGACATCCTACAAATGGAGATATGAAAAACAAATGAAGCATCTTCGGATTTGAATTATTACCCTAAAAACGTGATTTTCCATGAATACATCTTATGGACAAGAAGGAGCTTCAGATTTGCTGAAGCTATGGAAATTTAAATGCTATGGAAATTTCATCTATGGTAATTCTAAGCAGCATGCAGTATCAGTAATCTAATACAAAATCTGCATGGTTTTGATTCTCTAAAACTGATGTGTGGATTTTTCTGGGTACAGTTTTACCCAATTTGGAAGTGGCCTTGATAATTTTTTTTAAACAATACCAGTCACAGCGGCATTCTGCAAAATAAATGCTGGTAAACTAGAGTTAATTAAAAATTAGGAGCCCCACTTGTTCAACAATTTTTAAAATTACAATTGATGAGTTTGCTTCCATTAAAGACATTGCTATAAATAAAATATATGAAATACTGTATTTTAATATACCAACTTTGAATTTTTTATTATTTTCAACTAATGTTTCTGAGAAAAATCTTTCATTAAAAAATATACAACAACTTGGACACGAGGCTCACACTTCCTTTTGCCTTAGGCCCCAGTGTGGCTTCTCACAGCACTGCGCCTAAGTTCCATAACATGGCACCTGAACATTCAAGTTCTCAGCTTTAGCAAATAAAAATACAGCACACCAAAAATCATTTTGCGTAAGTGAAACTAAAAGTTACTGTTGATCCACAATGTACACTTAACTGGGCCTCCTGTGCAATTCTTACGCACAGTTTGTTGCACCCCCGGAGTCTCGTCTCTGGCCGCTGGAGATGCGCTGGGGACGGGGCTCACGTGGTCTGCGGACTGCGCGCCTCACCCCTGCAAGGGCCCACGGGAAAGCGCGTTCTCCGCGCCCCCCCCCCCCAGCCTCTTGCCAGCTGCCTCCCGGACGCCTGTGTGACTTTTGGTCCTTCTTGCTGGAATGTTCTTTCTTCGGGGAGCCAGAGTTTACGCCCTCATTCCCTTCAAGACTTAGCCAAGATCACCTTTGATGGCGGCCGGGAAGGGACTGCCCCTCCTGCCCTTCCTCCTCACCCGGCCTCCAGCCGTCTCATCCGCTGGTACTAAAGCGCTCTGAGGGAAGGGACTTTACTTTCACACCTTTATCCGCAGGGTCTGGGCTTTGGCCTACACCTGGCAGGCCAAGGCTCAGGGACCGCGGAAGGCGTCAGGGGGCGGGGCCGAAGGTGGGGGGCGGAGCTTAAGGGATCTCGCGGGAGGGGCAGGGCCAGAGGTCTCTGGAAAAGGTCTCTGGAAAAGGCCTCTGGCGCGTGTCCCTGAGGTACGGCGGCGAGACTGGCGACTCAGCTTGACCGCACGGCTGTGGCGGCCGAGGCTGTGGCTGCGAAGGCCCTGGCTTACCGGTTGTGGCTGGGCCTCCCCTCCAGGCGTGGCGGGAGCGGGCGGGCAGGAGCTGCGGGAAGAGGTACGCGGGTGGGTGGGGGGTTGGGGGGCAGCCCTGAGGGAAGACCCGAAGGCTGGTCGGACTTTGAAGAGGTTGTTTTGATGTTTGTGACTTTTTAATTATAAACTTGGCAAAAACTTTTTTTTTTTTTTTTTTTTTTTTTACTGCAGTTGTGGGATAAGAGACTGGAAATGGTAGGAAAAGGCCTTGGGTTTTGGCAAACCCAAAGCTTTATGGTGTTAAGGGGGCTTTTCAGAGCCTGCATCAAAGTATGTTACTGTGGTGTGGAGGAGCGTCAGGCTCCCAGGGGCTGTCTTCCCTGATTTCACTCTGAAAAGCAGTCTACCCTTCTCATCCACCTGCAGCAACAGAGCCTTACAGAGTGATAACCAAAGACCCCTTGGCCCTGATGGGCGCACAGCTGTTTTCTTAATTTCGCTAGCGAAGTGCTTAAAACCGTTTGCTGTATTTGCCGTGTTTTTGCCTGACTCTCTGTTTCCTTTCTTCTTCTCATTCTTTATTTTTGTATGTGTGTATGCTAAAGAATTTTGATAAAGAAAAATTTTGATACATAGGAAAGTTATACGTATTTATGGGTTACCTTGTAATGTTTCAGTACATGTACACATTGTGCAGTAAGCAGTCAGGGTTAACGTATCTATTTCCTCAAATACATAACGTTTCTTTAGAATCAAAACATCCTAAGATCCTATCTTAAGGGTTTTTTTAAAATTGAGAAATATATGGTATATTCATATGGTCAGTGGTCACCCTACTGTGCAGTAGATCCAGAACTTTTTATTCCTACTTAGCTGTGACTTAGTAGCCTTTCCTAGATCCTGTCTCCCCTCTTCCTTCCCCAGCACTGTTACACTTTTCACTTCTTTGAAATTACCTGTTTTAAGATTGCATACATGACCGAGATCATGTGATACTTGTCTTTTGTACTTAGCTTATTTCATTTAACATAAGCTCGTCTTCCTGTGTTTGGTTTATTTCACTTAACGTAATGGCCCCTGGTTCCATCCATGCCATAAAAAAAAAAAAAATGAAATCTTGTCATTTGGAACATTATTTTTGACAGAGTGAATCCACCTGAACTTATTCCTTGAAGTTGTGTAGGAAAGTGTTCTGGGTCCTCCTAGTGGCCAAATACCAATCCAGTAGGCATTTTTTTTTTTTTTTTTAAGATTTTATTTATTTGAGAGGCAGAGTTACAGAAAAAAGGAGAGACAGAAAGGTCTTCCACCTCCTTGTTCACTCCCCAGATGGCTGCATCAGCTGGAGCTGAGCTGATCCAAAGCCAGAAGCCAGAAACCAGGAGCCTCTTACAGGTCTCCCACGCCGGTGCAGGGACCCAAGTCTGGGCCATCCTTTACCGCCTTCCCATGCCATAGCAGAGAGCTGGATCAGAAGAGGAGCAGCTGGGACTTGAACCAGCACCCATATGGGATTCCGGTGCTACAGGCAGAGGCTTAGCTCACTACTCTTCAGCACCGGCCCCAGTAGACATTTTTGATGTTTTTTTTCCTTTCGGGGGGCACTTTGGTTTTCATAGTTCTTGTGTTCCCAGCCTCCCCTGCTAGCTCCTCCTCATCTGCTCACCTACTGTGCACTTCCAGGATTCAGAATATACCCTGGAAGGAAGGGTCTTAACCATTCTGCACTGCTTTAACATTTCTATGCTCATGATTAATTAGGTTGTCTTTTTGCATTCAAATCTTTCCCTTGAGTTCATTTCTAGACACCTTATATATCTAGAATACTCAGTGAATAACAGAGCTGAATGTGGAAAAAAAGTTATAGTGAGTGTTAACCTTTGGTGTGACAGATCCCTGGAGAATCTTATGAAATTTGGGGGACTTTGTCCCTTAAGAAGTACACACTAATTTTTGGCAATAGTTTTAGAGTGCCTCAAACCTGTTACAGTTAAAGAATTCACATCTTGGGTTAGAACTTGGGTTCATTACGATAAAATGGAAAAGTATGGTTTTGTAGGCATTCCATCAGATTTAGAACCTTTTAGTGAGAATACATTGCAATCCGACCTTCACCAGAGAGTAACCTTAATTAATTTATTACACTGGTTTGCTTTAGAAGTAGCATCATAGAATGAAAAGTCTGGAGCCCTATGAAGAGAATTTCTGAATTTGTGGGTTGCATGTTTTAAAGTTAAAAGTGGTTCTTTCTTTCAATGTGGGAACTAAAATTTAGAAAGAAAAAATGCCTATGTGTATCAGTATTGCATTGCTACAAATACAGTTTTTATCAGCCTTTGTTTTATATATTTATCAAACTAATAATTATGAATGTTATATTAATGTAGCCTTAATGATCTGTGTTACTGTAAAATTTGCTGTATATGGGTGAAATAGGTCATCCTTCCATTCAATTGATGTTTATAGCCCTTGCCTAACATTCCTGCTAAATTAGGGCCTGATTTGCTTTTTACTTGTTAAACCTTTTATTTGATGGATCATTAAGCCTTTGACTGTAGTATAAATTAAAAATATGTTAAAAACAAAAATTCCAAATGAGATCAGCTTTATCCTGTTCAAAGATCAGAGACTAATCAAGACCTTTCAGAAAATGCTTACTAGTAAAAGTGTAGTCTGCTCCCTTCCTTTTTAGGAACGGGATACAGTTGAGGTTGTGGAGTCAGGTACCTTGGAAGAGGAGCCCTGAGTGAGCAAGCCTTTATAGAACTGCCTGAGCTTCCAGGGTTTTTCTCTAGAAGAACTTTTTTCCCTTGGTGATTTATTGGGCTGGTGACTTCACAGTTTTGATATTTCCTTCATGGTCAGTGAGTGCTGCTTTGAGATTGACCTCACATGCTCCTGAATTAGGTCCATTATGTCTCTTAGTTTTTTAGTCAGTGTGTTACTTAATGTTTTTTATAAATGTGAAATCCAGAGAGACACTGTGTAAACCCTTCTCTTGGCTTCCTCTGTTTGGTTTTTTTTTCCCCCTCTTTTTATAACTTTTCGGTACTGTCTGGTCCGCTTTTCTCTATCCTTATTTATGGCTCAGGGTTTCTTTGTGGTCATCTTGCATACTCTAAAGGCTCTGACTTCTACATACTTCCTATATTTTGATAACTTTTAATTCCAGCTTTTGTCACTTTCCAGCTTGCAGCTCCAGCTCTACTTAAATGGCCGATAATTTCTTCTGTGTGAATATAGCCCAAACGAGGCTCATTATAAAGTCAGCCTTCTATGTTCACAGGTTCCCACATGTACAAATTCAATCAGCAACAGATTGAAAATACTGGGGAAAAAATTGCATGAGTACTGAAGTAATATAGAAATTTTTTCGTATTATTTCTAAACACAGTATAACAACTATTTGCATACTATTTAGGTTGTATTAGATAGTACAAGTAATCTAGAAATGATTTATTACAGTATATTATAGGATATGCAGAGGTTATAGGCAAATGTTATGCTATTTTATAGAACAGACTCGAACATCTTCAGATTTTGGCATACATGGGGTGGAGGACAAG